TGCTTTTGGGCTGCTTCAGGTGCCCTGGCTCGTGGATGGCACATCCCAACCTCGGCTTCTGTCACTGCATGCACCCTCCCTGTCCATGTCCACATTCCCCTGGAAGGACGCCCACCCCTGGAGCAGGCCCCTGCTGTCCAGGAGGACCTCCTCTTCATCTGAGTAGACCTGCAAAGCTAGGTCCCAGCCACAGGTTCTGAGAGCCTGAGAGTTTGGCGGGGAGCACTGGACAGCTATCCTGACATCTGTTAGGACAAGTTCAGTGTCCACGCAGCAGAGGACAGCTCTACTGCAGGTGGGGAGGGGTCGGACACACCAAGAGGCTGTGGGGGAAGCAGTGCGGGGGCAGGGACATAGACCTGCACGCATTACAAGACCTCTGGCCCCGGTGCTCTGGAAGGCGCAGGTTTGAAAATGAAGTGATGCAAAACAAACTGTATTCAGGGATTAAAATTTGCCTGGCGAGAGAAGCCAACTAGCCTGTCTTCAGGTGATGGAGGGATCTAGGTCGGCTGTAGACGGATGGATGAGCCATCCCCACCTTTCCTTGCCCTGGCCCGGCTGGCACAAGCAGACTTCCTGCCCCCCCCTGCCCTGGTCTTCCGGGATAGCTGGGTGAGCTGGCAGAGGGGCCCCTGAGAGGACATGGGCCAGGCCTGGAGGCAAAAAACCATTGGCACCTGAGATGTCAGAGTGGTGGGAGCCGGGCTCATCAGTCAGATTTTTACAGCAGGGGGCCCCCATCCTTACGCTCATTTTTTGAGCGTAAAAGCTCATAACTTTCACACTGAGACCCTTGGCAGAGCCAAGGTTTCTGTTTGTGAGCCGATTGGTGGATGTGGTCCACGCCCCTGAGTTTCACTGTCTTGATTCACACAGTGGCATGTTTCTGGGTGATTCATTTGAACCTTTATCTTTTGTGTCCTTTCCATCACAAAACAGAAGACTAGTGCTGAGGCCCCGATGTTACAGCCCAGGAGGCAGGGCAACTCCTAGGTGGGTGAGACCTGCTGGGCGCTCGGGCCCCATCCTAGCCGAAGAGAATCAGGAATGTGTCAGGCTGGGGATGTGGCTCAGTGCCTGCCCAGCCCGCCCTGCGCAAGGTCCTGGGTTCCATCCCTAGTATCACTAAAGGAAATCAGAAATCCTGTTGTCACAGGCAACAATCACCAGCAATTACTAGAACACATTTCAGGGTGTAAGGTACGGCTGTCCCCTCATAACAGAAAAATGCAGGTCAAACCTCCTGCAGGGTGCTGCCCACCTATGCAAGCCTGTGTCAATGCCATCGTGCAGGACTATTTTCTGGGCTGCCTCTGCAGGCCCAATGGGCAGCTTCCTCTCACGTCTTGGCCTGGGCAGGCCCAGCTCCAAGGCCAGGTCTGTCCATTCCCTGTGACTTGGGGTGAAGGGCCTGCTGCCCTGTCCCTTCTGCGTAGGACACTCTCCCGCCTCCGCTGTCTCACCCATTCAGCCCCAGAGCCCAGTCAAGCTGCCTCTCCAAGGTGACCTTGCCAGATCCCCTCTGAGCCCAAGGTCACCTTAGCCCCAGCAAAGATGCTGATCGGTAACAAAGGCAGGAGAAGGGGGTGGAGGCAAAGCGACCTAAGGAACTGGAGGACAGCCCAGGAAGCTGAGGGAGCCACCGAGAAACGCTACTTCCATGGGCTATGGATGTGGGAAACTGTCCCAGGAGATAGTTAGTAACCAGATGACATCCAGATAACATATATTCCCACTCTATAAAAATGGTCACACTCAACAAGTGTTATATATGTTAAAAAAGAAAAAGAAAGGAGGGCTGCCATGGTGCTGCAGGCCTGTAATCTCAGCACTCAGGATGCTGAGACAGGGGGTTCATTCAAGTTTGAAGCCACCCAGGGAGTTCAAGGCCAGCCTGAACTGCATAGTGAGGCCCTGTCTCAAAAAACCTAAAGCCAAAACCAGATAAAACAGCACCAAAAACCAAAACCAAAACCAAAATGGTACCATAACATATTCAGTGCACAGGTCTCACAGTGAGATGGGAAGCAGAGTTCTTTCTTTCTTTCTTTCTTTCTTTTTTTCTTTCTTTCTGTCTGTCTGTCTGTCTGTCTTTTTGAGACAGGGTGGGTCTCACTCTGCAGTTCAGGCTGAACTTGGGCTCACTTTGTAACTGAGGCTGGTCTCAAACTTGCAATGATCCTCCTGCCTCCGCCTTATGAGTACAAAATTTCTTAATTCTCTTCCAAATTTTGAAATTCTGTCTTAAAACGCAGTGATTGTGAGAGCAAGTAGATTCTCCCAGTTTGCTAGTCCTGGGCTGGTGCCCAAACGTCATCTGACCTCTGCCCAAGTCCCACCAGCAGTGAGTGGGGAACTCACTATGCTCTGAGGTTTTCTGTGGCCACATTGTCCTCTGGAGGGGTAGAAAGCCAGCTACTGACCCTACTGGCCACAGTCTCGCCTTCCAGAACAGCGGCAAATGAGACCACTTCCCACGCCCCTTGATGGCAGAGGTTCCGCGTGGCACCAGGTGGGCGCCGCCTTCCCCATCCCACCTGCCCACACAGGACAGTGACATCCACCATCCCCACGTCGCCATGTCCTTTTCTTGGGCACAGTCCAGGCCGTGATGTCCTCAAGACTCAGTCTCTACCTCATCTCTCTCTCCAGCTCAGCAGCTGCCTCCTGGGAACGCGGTCCCTGCGTCCTCTCAGAGCAGCTTCAGCACATTCCCGTGACACAGGAGCTAACACTGTGCCTGGCTCCCGAAGAAACAGGGCGCAGGGAAGCCGAGACACTTCCAGGGTCACTTACATCCACAGTGAGCATGGACAGAACCAGAGCCCAGCCCCGACTCTGCTGCGGTCCCTGCAAACATCTGCCAGGTTCACAGGAGGACAAGTGGTCTCAGCTTTACCGCCTGAGCCGTGGGGTCTGCGGTTCTGCCTGAGCAGGACTTAGCCTGGGCCAGGCTCTTTCCTGTTCCTTATTTCCAGCGGTCACCAGGCTCTCACCTGCCTGCCAACCGGAAGTGCTCAGGCATGGCCGGGACAGGGCTGTCCCGCTGAGCACAGCTGTAGCACTGTGGCTGGAGCCCATGGCATGAGCAGGATGGACAGGGGACAGTGGTCATGTCACACAGGGGGCTGGCCACCAGCTGTCACTCCAGCCTACCCCTTTCTGGCTGACCTAAGGATGCCGGTGACCCTGGGGGCTGAGACGGCCCTCTTCACCCCCAGGCAGGTCTGCACCCTCCGCCTGGCCTTCTCCCAAGTTCTCCTGAGGATACGACCCCAGGACCACAGTCTCTGCCGAGAAGAAGCATTTGAGAAGAACCTCAGGATCCCGAGAGATCCTCAGCACCCATCTTTGTGTCCAGGGACTGTTCATCCCCTCAAGAAGGCAGCGCAGCCACCCCAGGCTTGGCCTCTGGGTGGCGTCCAGAGTGTTGGTCAGGCCAGGCCCAGAGGCTCAGACTGCAGGACTCAGACCCCTGAGCCTGGAAGGAACCCGAGAGGCCTGGGGGACAAGTGAGCCCCCCACCAAGTGAAGCTGCATCCACAGCTGCCGCCACCCCCACTCTGCACAGAGTCTCTGCTGTGCTCTCCACAGCTCTCCTCCCTCAGGCCTCCTCTTGCCCTTGACGGGGCGACTCCCACAGACTCTCAGGGCCGGCCAGGCGGGCAGCCTCATGTGCTGCTGGCGGCTGCAGGAGGCTCTGCCCTCACTCAGTCAGGGCTGTGTTCACTTAGCACCTGCTCTGTGCTGGCACAGGACGGGGGTGGGTGTGGGGGGCTGGCCTCAGGTTCTTGCTTGGCCACGGCCACGCTTTATCCCCTGACCCTGAGAGGGGAAGAAGATTCACTCTGCAGTTCAGCCTGGTTTTCATGCTCCCCTCACTAGTCCTGTGACCTGACCCTTCTGGAGTCTGGTGCCACCCTGGGCTTAGAGTCCTCTCCCCCGGGGGCTGGCAGCATATATGGCTCAGGCCTCTGGGGATTGGTACCTGGCTGAGAACCTGGGTCAGAGCAGAACCGAAAGGGACAGCAACAGACACAAAGTTTAAATAAGAACCCAGCGATGCCTGCACAGGGGAAGGGAAGACACGCCAGCTGTCCTCAGGCCGTGAGGGTGCAGGTCCTCATGCCAAAGCGCTCTGCAGCCGGTGAACTGTGGGTGAGGACCGCTGGCCGGGAAGCCTGGATTCTGCTCCAGGTGGCCACAGTGGCCTGGGCAAGGCCTGGACCAGGCAAGGCAGGAGGGGCTGGGTCTGAGCTGGTGAAGTTTTCTGACCAGAGAATAAAGGAGGCACAAGATAAGCCAGGGGCATCGCACTTCCGCCCAGCGCTCTGTCCGCAGGTGTAGGTGCGGCCAGGCGATGGGCTCCTCCAGCCCCGAGCAATTACCAGGCAGAAAAGCCTGCCTCAGGCGCAAGTTGGGGAGCGGGAGCAGCGTGCAGCGCGTCGCAGCATTATTAAATATCGCCCCACTTTGGGGCACCTGGGAATCTCCAGGGAGGCTGATGGCAAAGTTTATAAGCGCAGGAGTTCAGGCGCTCCTCTCCCGCCCGGCGCTTGGTGACCTGCGCCGAGGAGGACACGTCCTCTTGGCTGTGACCTTCTGGGCTCCTCAGACCCAGGGGGCACCTGGCAGGAAACCTGAGTAGAGTCCCCTGGGCCCTAACCCAGCTCGGGAGGCACAGGCAGGGAGCGGGGCGGCGGCTCTGCGGGCGCCCACAGGGCAGGGGAGGCCCAGCCCGGCCGGGTGGGGCTCGCAGGGTGCGCGGTGCCCCGGGCTGCGCCTCGGATTCCGCCTTCCTAACAAGTCCGGAGCCACGCTGGGCAGGGACCCTGCGACACCACCTGCCCCTGCCCGGCTCCGGAGGGCCCGACCCGGCGCGGGACCCGCAGCCCAGGGGGCACCTGCGCAGACTCCAGGGCGCAGGGCTGGCCTGGGTCTGGGGTCCCCGCCGGGGCCCGCGCCCCTCTCGCCCCGGCCAACTTCCCCGCGCGTACCTTCCGCACCTTCCCGGGGCGCAGGCAGCAGCTCGGCCGGCTGGGTCCGCAGCCCATCCTCCGCCCTCTCCTCCTCCTGCTCCGCCCGCTCCTCCTCCTCCGCCCGCTCCTCCTCCTCCCCGGCCCGGCGCCGCCCAGCTCGGGGCCCCGCTGCGCCCTGCGCGCCCGCCGGACACCCTGAAACTGAAGCCGGCGGGCCGGAGCGAGCCGGCCCGCGCCGTAAATACCCGAGCAGCCGGGCCCCGCGCGGCCGGCAGGTGACCGGGACACCGTCCAGCGGGAGCGGCAGGGCGGGGAGGGCGACGCAGCCCAGGGCCGGAGGGCAGGACGGGCCGGTGCCCAGCGCTGTGTCCGCCCTGCGCGCTCTCCGGCTCCGCTCCTCGCCCTCTCCGTGCCACTGAGGGATGGTTTGGCAGAGCGAGTGTCCGATTGTGGACCTCGGCAAAGCTGGGCGGTCCAGGGCCCGGGCAGAGCTTCCCAGGACCCGATCTCCGAATCACTTCCCCGCGAGTGAAGGCCGGAGAACCGGGAGCTCCACGCGGCCGGCCCTGGACTCTTCGCTCCCAGCCCGGAGCCCAGCCGGATGCAGCCGGAACCAGGGACTTAGAGCGCGGGGTCAGAAAGTTTTTGTTTTGTTTTGTTTTGTTTTCCCGGGGAGTGGAACCCATGGTCTTGTGGATGTCTGCCCAGCTCAGGGGCACGGAGCCACACATCATCCAGAAAGGAACTTCATCAGTGTTCATTTCTGACTAGCTGGGGTTTCTGAAAGTCACAATGTAGGCGGGAAGGATACTAGTTTTGAAAAAAATCCATGTGTGTGCACACAGTGTGCGTGTCAGGCCCAGAGCTCAGTAGTGGACAGAGACGGATGGAAGGGATTCAGAGTCAAAGACAGGAAAGGACCCGAGTGCTCACAGGACACTGGCCTTCCACCGAGTGGAAAACCAGCAGTGGAGGCCCTAAAACAGCAAACGGCGGGAACCGGTGACCTGGCTTCTCAGAACAGTGTAGGCCCATGGTTTGCCAAGCCCTGTACCAGTGGCCCAAGCCCTGCCAGACTGGGTTAGAAATGCAAATTCTCAGGCCTGGCCTGCACCTACAGCTCCCAAGCCCTGGGCATGGGTGGGCTGGGGATCCAGGCTGGGGTCCTGGGGAGCCTGCCATGGGAAGTGCCCAGAGGTCACAGGAGGTGTCTCGTTCCGTTTATTGAAACATGGCTCCGAATTAAAACAAAACAAAACAGTAAATGCCAAGCAGCCTAAACACCCAAGGAAGAAGCTTGGTTAAATAAATTATGAGACAACCCCAAGCATGGGGGCAGCGCAGTCACCAAGGGGAGTCCAGGCCACCCTAAAAGTACTGGTGAGATGGTTTGTGTTGAGACAGAGCCTCACTGTAGGTCAGGATGTCCTTGGACTCAACTGGCTGAAGATGGATATTTTAAAATGCTGAAAAGTATAACAAATTTATTTTTAGTTTAAGAAAAAGTAGTAGAGCTGGGCATGGTGGTGCACCCCCTAACCCCAGCACCCAGAGGCAGGAGGATGGCAAATTTGAGGCCAGCCTGAGCACTCAGTGAGAGCCTATCTCAGAGAAGGGGAGACTGAGCTTGGAGTGCATGGTGGAGCTCCCCTGGATTCCATTTCAGGATCAAGAAGACCAAAATAATAATAATAATAATAATAATAATAATAATAATAATAATAATAATGTTAATAATGATTACCCAGGCTTAGATTTTGGATTTATAAAGCCTTTGTTTATTTTCTTATATTAAAAAAGTATGCATTTAGTATTATTTTAATAAGAAACTTGCTATTAAAATGGAAAAAGGTTTTTAAAGTATGTTTTATTTTTTACCTTTTTTATTTCTTATGAAAAAATAAAATTTTATAAGCACACAATAACCTAGTTGTTACACTGTGTGTCATTATCTTCAAAGTAGTTAGTTACTCAGAGTACAAGGCATAAACCAAAAAGGTTCTTAGAAAAAAGAAACAAAAGGCCAGGCCTTGGTGGTGCACCCCTGTAACCCCAGCACTCGGGAGGCGGAGGCAGGAGGATTGCTGCGAGGCTATACAGTGAGCCCAAGGCCAGCCTGAGCTGCATAGCTAGCGAGACCCTGTCTCAAACAAAAATAACACAAAAGGGGCTGGGGATTTAGCTCAGCGGCATAAGCGCCTGCTTTTGCAAGCAGGCAGTCGTCAGTTTGATCCCTGGTACCGATAAAAGGGAAAAAGACAAAAAACAAAACAAAAAATCCAAAATGCCCCCAAAACACTAAGAGACTGGTAGTATAAATGAAACCAATGGGCATGTATATTGAAATATTTTTAGAGTAACAGAATTTGTAGTTTGGGGAAGTATTTGAATATCTGCTTCCTCCTTATATCTTTTCTATTTTGCACTGTTGCTCTCTCTATGTAAAAAATATAATATGTATTATATACAGGTTTTACATGAGAAAGCACACAATATTTCCGTATCCGACTTATGTTCTCAAGCTGCATTCATTTGCCTGTGAGCGCCTTAGGTTTATAGAAGTGTCACCCTCTGCTTTCTGTAAACACCACATTTCCTTATTCTGTCCCCCACTGATGGAGATCTGCACCGCTCCTGAGATCCAGCTGTTATAACTGTAAACACGGACCTGCATGTGGCTCTGCAATAGGATGATTGTAGCTTTTTGCGAGGATGCCTAGGAGGGGTAGAGCTGGGTCAGCGGAATTTCTTTTTTTAGTTTTTGAGGACTCTCCACACTGATTTCCACAGAGGCTGTACTAGTTTACGTTTCCACCACTGAAACAGGGTTTTAAAACCATGCATGGAGCGGGATGTGGGGGTGCACCCTGGAATCCCGGCACTTGGGAGGCTGAGGCAAGTTTGGGGCCAGCCTGGGCTACAAGACCTTGTACAAAACAAACAAACCATGCAAGAGGTTGGGATTCGTTGTTCGAATCAGGCTGTGAGCGAAGTCTCACCGAAGTGCATGACTGCAGAGTCAGCTGGGAGGAAGACATAAAGACCAGCGATGGCTCACAGCAGACCTGGAGCAGGCGGGCGCCCCGAGTGGTGGCCTGTTGTTCTCCCGCCTGCCGCTCTCCCATCCGCCCACCGCGGAGCTGACTGCTCTGAAATTGATTTCAAATTTTAATGTCAACCACTGAAATCAGTAACTTGCACCGGTGGGCAGCAACAGGACGGCAAGCCCTGTACTGGACCCTCAGGTTTCAGGGGCCCTTGCCCCCAGGCTCTCCGAGCCCCCTCCGAAGTTGCTTCGGATTTCCCACACTTGCACTGCTGCCTGTCATATGTACTTTGATGTTTCTGCTTGAGAAGAACTCGAGATTTTCTTGTTTTAGCAACTTGTGTTTAAGAAAGTTGCCAGTGAGACCCCCCCACTTTTTTTTTCCTTGTTTTTGAAACAGGGTCTCGCTGTGCAGCTCAGGCTGGCCTTGGGCTCATTTTGTAGTCCAGGTTGGTCTTGAATTTGCAACGATCCTCCTGACCTCAGCCTCCTGAGTGCTGGTATTACAGCATTATGCCACCAGGGCCAGCTGCCAGTGAGACTCTGGATGGTTAGTATGCAAGCCAGGCAGGTCAGGTTTTGCTGCAATAACAGAAGACATAAAAATGTCAGTGATTAACATGCCAGAAGCTACGTGATGGCTCACACTGCATTTCTGGGCAGGACAAGGAGAGACACTCATGTCTTCCTGGGGCACATCTGTCTTGCCAGGCTGGCTGTGGGTTACCAGGGTTGTACCTGGTGTGTGGGTCTTAAGTGCTCCCACTCAGAAGTGACACACATTAAGCTGACTCACGTTTTGTGGGCCAAAGCAGGTCACACAGTCACAGCCAACTTCAGAAAGAGGGTGGAGAAACATAGGGTCCACCGGAAGCAGACAGTGGTAAGGAACAGCAATGCCTTCTGTAGTTAGCAATCTGCTGGCGTCTGTGCCTAGATCCCCAAACCCCAAGAGGGTGCACAGCGAAGGCCCAAAGGAATGAGACACTCCGCCAGTTTTTAGGGCTGCAGGAGTAAGACCTCGGCAGAGCTGGTAACTGCTAGCCGGTGGCCGACTGACGCTGGGCAGCCCGTATTTAATCAGAACAAGCAAGAAGGTGAGTGGACAATGGAGGAAACCTGAGCAGGACCTTGGGAGGGGTTCAAGGACCCCTCAGAGCAAGAGATGGTGCTAACTAAGGAAGGCTGTCCAGGAAGTCTCCAGGTGGCCTCAGCTGTGACCTGTCCTGCCCCCTGAGGGGTCTGCTCCTTCTCAGGTCATGCCACAGCCCTGTACCTGTATCCAGCCTCAACAGTCTCCAGCAGCCATCAGCAATCAGGCCCGAGCTACTGTGTGCTCAATTTTTGGGCAGTTAGGGGGGCCAACTCATCCTGGTTTGCCAGGATTCCCCCATTTCTGCCAAGTCCCAGGCACAGCAGGACAGTTGGCCACCCTATGGGTAAGGCATTGTGAAGGTTCAGACAAAAACCAGCCCTTGTTTTGAGTTAGTTATAATCTATATTTTTGACATTAAACTCATACACAGGAAAAAAAGAGAAATCCTACAAAGCAAGTTATAGGGCTAATGCTGTGCTACAGGTGTTAGCATTAAAAGGAGGTGAGGGGCCAGGATGGACGGGGAGGGTCAAGGAGCACTTCCTGGAGGAGCCAGAGGACGGTCAGAGCCAGAGGACGGTCAGAGCCAGAGGACCGTCTGCCAGAAGGGATTCTCTGGTCTCTGGCTGGGATGGAATTTGATGCTTGACTTCTGTTTGCAGCTAAGAACAGTGACTCATGCAAGGGCTTTTTAAGGTTTCCCCTCAGGGGATGATGCAGCTTGTGTTTAGGGCTTGCAGGGGCGGAAGTCGGGACCATCTCTCCTTATCCAAGGGGAGGAGGAGAAGTGGGAGGAGAGGGTGAGTCAGGTCGGGGAGGGCGCGCAGGCTGGGCAGCTGCCAGTGAGGGACTAGTGGTGTCGCCAGGTTGTGTATGAAGGACAATGTGGAGGCGCTGGGTTATCTGGGGACAGACAGGAAAGGACGGTGTGGGGATCAACCTGAGCGGGCTCCATGAGGAGGGTGCACTGTGCTCAGACACAAAAGCTTCCCGCAGAGTTTCAAGCAGTTTCAGGGACCCTGCAGCCCATGCCGGGGGTCGGGGAGGGATGTGGAGATCTCTAGTTAAGCTGTTTTTCTCTGCCAGCTCTTCCGGTTGAATGCAGTGGTCCCCCAAACATACGTCTGCAGCCCAGGTGACGTCCTTCACCCCATTTCTGTGGGTTCCAGTTCTCTGTGTCCATCAGAGAGTCGCTCAGTGGCCCTCAGCCCTGAAAGACCCCACACTCTCTCTGCGGCTCCCCGGCACCCCCTGCTGATGAGCTCCACCGAAGGACCACCGAAGGACCACTGAAGGACCGAGTGTGATGGAGCCCTCCTCACCGATCCCCTCTGTCTGGCACTCAGCAGATGGCCAGTGCCCTCCCGAGCATCTGTCCTTCTGTCTTCCTGCTTTACGGAATGCTGAGGTTCCTGGGCTCACAGGCTGCTTCCCCGCATCTGGGTTTAGGGGTAGACGGTGATACCTAGGGGCGTCCAGAAAACTTTCACAAGGAGATGCCTCCCCTTTGACTGCTCCTTCCTTTCCTGTCCAGCGGGCATCTCTAACCCCATGCACAAAGGAGAACGCTTCATCCAACCTACACCGGTCCAGACCTTTGCTCTTTACAGGACAAGCAGCGGTGGGCACCAGCCACTGACACTGAGATTCAGGCCCAGTGGAGCATGCAATTCTAACTCAGATGTAGGTCTGTTACAGAGCCTTGTGATACTGGGATTAATTAGAATTAGGGACACCAGGAAGCCCAGCTGCAGGACAGACACAAGGCTCTACTAGCAAGGTTCCCTGGGGATCCCCTGGGCGCCTCCTCTTGGTGCTGAAAGGAGGAACTGGAGGAATGCTGCGGCTCCCTCCTGTGCGAGCATCCTCAGGGCAGGGCAGCGGCTGGCTCGGGGCCTGCAGGGAAGGCGCAGCTGCCCTGGCCCCACTTCTCCCTGCTGAGACATGGGGACATGGGGACCCGGTGGGGCGGGGCATCTTCATTCTGACATTTCCACCAGGGAGGGGATGGACTAGGCTGTTTAAGTTGAATTAAGGGAAAGGGAGACAGAGTCCATTACGCCTTCCCTCCCTGCTGGGTTTTGGGTACCATGCGGAGTGGGATCTGGGGTTGCTTTGGGAGAAGGGGCGAAATCTGTTTTCTTTGCCTAGAGCTGACCCATGCTGGTCTCCACTGCACCCTCTCTGTCCCCTAGCTGAGCTGAGCCCCCATGAGCCCGACTTAGGGGTGTAGGGTGGTGCCCAGGAGCACTCTCCCCAAAGGGCTGTGGGGTCTGGTGGCCACTGGAAGGAGCGGGGGACACATCTCCATGGGTTCTCAGGATGTGGGCCAGGGTCAACAGCCTCAGCACCCTTGGGAGGCACCCAGAAAGGCCGGTTCCTGCCCCCACCCCCGGCTGCAGCTTCAGGGTCCTGGGTGTGTGCCTGGCATCTGGGCTGGCACAGGCTGGCCGTGGTGCCCCATGTGTCATGTTGGACAGTCACTGCCTCTGCCTCCCTGTCCCTGTCTTGTCTCCGAGCCTCTCCTGCCCTTCGAATGGGCTCAGAGTCAGCCGGTGGCGGGGTCTGAGAGATGGGGGCTGGGTTGTGTGGCGGTGTCCGGATCGCCCTTGGTGAGGCGCAGGGGCCGCTTGTGTGCGGCTGCTGGAGCTCTCCTCCGGCTTCTCCAGGCAGTTTGTGGGGTTGAAGGCAGCGGGAGCCGAGTGGGGCTGGCGCTGTCGGGTGCACCCCTTACCCCTCTGCCCTTCTACCCCTCCTCCCCTGGCTCCATCTGCACCTTCTGCCGGTTCCCACCCAACGTCCTCCCCTCAGGTCCTTCTGACCGCTGTGTCCCTGGTCGGTGTGAGTCCTAGCTCCAGTGTCCCCCCTCTTCCCCAGACATGGTGCTGGATCGTGGCCCCAGATCTGCTCTACCATCGAGTCACAGCCCAGCCTTCTTGTTTTTCATTCTGAACCAGGCTTCCCTAAATCTCTAAGGTAGGCAGGGTGGGCTGGAACTTGTGGGCCTCCTGTCTCAGCCTCCCAAGTAGCTGAGATGCCGGTGTGCACGCTGCGGCTGGCTCCACCTCGCTCTTTGACGGGGAAAATGAGCCATTCGCCTTGTGTGATTGAGAGCTGCCCCTCAGCAAAGCTCCAGGAACCTCGGTGTCCCACTCTCCGAAAGGGACGGGAAGGGCCAGCAATGGGACAGCTCGGGCAGGATCAGAACAGGATCAGGGAGACATCTGCATGCCTTTCTAGATCTGCTCCTGCTCCTGCTCCTCCTATTCTGGGCCAAAATACTGGAATCCTGGGGCATCTGAAGCGTTCAGAGAAACGGTGAGGCGGAACTATTTCTAAACGGGAAAGCTCAGGCACAGGTCAGCAGTTTGACAAAAAGCCCACCAGGGGGGCGTGACTCGTAAATGAGGAGAGGGCTGGTGGGGAGCAGTGTGGCACAAACCCGAGTGGCTGCCCGCCCAGAAGAACAAGGGAGGGTCTGCGTGGTTAGTAGGTGCGGGGAGAAATACATGTCCTCGTGGCCCAGGTCATCCAGTTTATCAAAAGAAGCAAGAGGGGCTGGGGATTTAGCTCAGTGGCATAAGCGTCTGCCTTGCAAGCAGGCAGTCGTAAGTTCGATTCCCGGTACTAATTAAAAAAAAAAAAATACAAAAGAAGCAGGAAATCTCCTCTGGTTTTTCTTTTCTTTCTTTTTTTTTTTTTTTTTTTTTTTTTTTTTTTTGGTACAGGGGATTGAGCTCACGCCCTTAGGCTTGCCAGGCAGGCATTTATGCCACTGAGCTAAATCCCCAGCTCTGTTTTGTTTTCAAGGCAGAGTCTCCATGTGGTTCAGACTGGTTCTGAACTCACCATGTAGCCAGGCTGGTTTCAAAATCGTGGCAATCCTCCTGCCTCAGCCTCCCCAATACTAGGATTACAGGGTGCCCCACCATTCCTGGCTGTATATCCTTAGAAATGCAAAATGGTGCTCTTTCCCTTTCTCC